ACACTGAGACATTTCAAGTTCGGGTTGGAAAAACATGAGGATCGTTCTTTCCTATACCTGTCATGTTTAAATTAGAAAGATAATTTGTAAATGTATGCAAATTCCAATGGTTCACTGGAGTCTTTTATGTGAAATACTAAAGTGTTGTGACATTTATATGTGGTTTTGAGCTGTAGCTAAACAACAGCATGAAGTGTTGAGTGGCGCTTATGTAGGGAGTCATGCCTGTTACTGCAGTTTAAGGCCCCCTAGTGATTGTTAAATATATATGAGGCTATTTCTGGAAGGGAGTGTTGAGAACTGTAAGTCTGCACAATACTGTGAGCAGCTAAAGGTCAGTGAACAATATGGTGCGTGAGGCCTCACATCTTACAAAACCAGGGGAGGTTGTTTCAGCAGTGACTCAGAGCTGGATTCCTCGGCCTCTGGATCATAGTGAGAAACAGCTGATGATACTGAGTAATTTGCTTGTGATAATTAAATCAGTCCTCCACACGGCTTCATGCAGCCAGAGACCGTGAGATATAGAGGGAGAATGTGGGTTTTTGAATGCAGATGATTATGTGTTGGATCGACCGCCTGGTATTCAGTGTTTTAGTTCATGTTCCCTTCTCATATTTTAAAAGTATGCACTCTGCTATCACTTTGAAGATTCTATCATTATTTACTCTCAGTCATGTTGCTTTAAGCCTGTATGACTTTCTTTTCCGTGGAAGTGAATGGGTGCCGACAGAATGAGAATCCAAACCTCCAGACAGCTATAGGAAAGTGACTGTAATATAGTAATGCCTGTCTGTAAGAAACAAATCCATCATTAAGACATTTTAACTTCAAACCATTGCTTCCAGCTAAAATACAAGTTCTTTATCTATTATATTGTTTTCTCCAGTGAAAAAGTTGTCTCATCTCAATCAGGAGAAAAATACAGGCGATGCGTTATTATGAATTATAGACACATATTTTGGCCAGAAGTAACTCTTTAAACTTGAACCGCCTTGATGGATTTGTTTTTTACAAACATGCATCTTTGCACTTCAAGACATTAATAGATGGACTGGATTACTTGTGGATTATTGTGATGTTTCTATCAGCTGTTTGGCCTCTCATTCTGACGGCACCCATTCACTGCAGAGGCACTGATGAGCAAATTATGTAATGCTTAATTTCTCCAAATCTATTCTGATGAAGAAACAAAAGCATCTACATCTTGGATGGCCTGAGGGTGTGTACAATTTCAACAGATTTTCATTTTTGGGTGAACTATTCCTTTAAAGGGGTGGTTGATTGCGATTTAACTTTTTTAACGTTAGATAGTGTGTAATGTTGCTGTTTGAGCATAAACAATATCTGCAAAGTTACGAAGCTGAAAGTTCAATGCAAACAGAGATATCGTCTTTTTAAATTCTGGCGGTTTAATGCCTACAAAAACGGCTCGTAGGGACTACAACGAGTTACTCTGTCTTCTAACGATTCTAATGGATTTTCAAAATCAATGCTCTAAAGCAGCAGTTCTCAATACTGTTCCTCGCGTGCCCCTGCTCTGCACACGCTCTGCATCTCTCTCACTCTCTCTCTCATTCAGCTCACCTCCAAAAATGAACTGTTCCAATTATACACTTATTTTCACATAGCTATGAGAAGTGTTAAACATGGACGCGCGTGCAGTTTCCCATTAACACATGTTAGACTGCACCCCATAAACACAATCAAGCCTAGAAAAAAAAAACAGTGAACCACCCCTTTAATTTAATTGTTCTTTTGAGTCTCAGGGAATCAGCTGGTCCATTTCAACGGATATAAATGATTCCTTAATTCGATGCGGCTGATATGATTCATTCAATGATTCAGTCACAGCAGCTAACAGCATACTGAAGAGGAAATTTTTCATTGAATAACTCCGTTAATAACTATGACATAAGTCTGTTCCTCACAGGCTATTGCATGCCTACATATAATAGTGCATTCATATGGACAGCTTTGATATAATTTTTATGGTACTTTTGCATCTTTTTAAAGCTTAAAAGCCTCATCTCCATAGGGACTAGCTGCATTAAAAGCATGATTTTTGGGAAAAGAGATCTTTTGTGTTCCATGGAAGAATTAAAGTCATACAGATGTGGAACATCAGGAATTTTCTATTTCAGGTGAACTGTCACTTTAAATACAACACACATGTTGCATGCTCGCTTCATAGATTGCAATGGGTCACTTTTAAGTGTTTACCTTTCCCTGCAAAGACCTTGGTGTGCTGTTGAGGCATGCTGAGCAAACACGGGCAGCGACAGAAGCGCCGCCCACTACTGAGACAGAGCCGGTCCTGGCCACCGCTGCCCTGATACATGATCAGAGAGTCAGCTGCAAAGGGTATTCCCGTGTGTGTGTGTGTGTGTGTGTGTGTGTGTGTGCGCGTGTGCGCGTGTTTGTTTTTTAATGTCAAATAAAATGGTTCGGGGTGACAGACTGTCACATGTCACAGTGTCAGTCTGCACTCAGTAACGTAATGGTCTCGAGCAGCTCGGGAGTATGAGATCTGATGGGCGACTATGTGGAGTATTTCCGTCTGATGAGAAGGAATGCTGAATGTAAGGCCTGCTGCGCAGAACATCGACCCTCCCCCATCTCCTTTAAAGACAACATGACACAGAATGCATTTAACTTCGGTAATGTGAGTGAGACAGATTGTACAGCTGGAAATAATGTAGGGTGGGACTTGATTGTATCCAGCAGCTTATTGTTGGATTGCTATTGGATGGTCATGATATTATTAGTGCTCGCATAACTATTACTATTGCTCATAGTTGCGGTTAGGGATTTCAACATACCTCTAAGTATTATCAGCATGGATCTATTACCATGCATGCAACTTTTTGTATTTTTATTATTATTTTTTATTTTTTTATTAATGTTTGTAGTTCTAATCAAATCTGTGTCCAACGTGCAATGGATTGTGGGCAATATTAGCCATTAGAGTGTGCACTTCGAATTTACACCATAAGGTAGGGCTGGGCGATAATTCGATAACGATAATTATCATGAAATAATTTTCCTCGATAAAACGATATGAAGAGTTCGATAAATGTTCGATATAATGTTTATGCGCCAAAAGTGGAACGAAACAGCACGACTAATTTGAAGCGCGCCACTCGGACCGTTTATCCGCTCGGATCAAAGTTCAAACTAGGAGGCCCGAGCTCACTAGAGCAGATGCGTTTACTCGGTCACACGAGTACTAAACAGCGCTGTGAGACCCACTGCTTGAATTCAGCAATGAACACAAATGACTCAGTGATTTAAACTAGTTTAAAGCCAAACAGGAGAAACACTGTGTGCAACGAGAGAGTCAGAAGGCTTTTCAATCTACACATCGCCATCATTTACCATGGATTTACTGTAGTAACACTCACTGCACGAAGGTATTGTGGCAGAAACTTTGGATATTCACACTGAATACAGGAGTAATTGATAATTATAGTACGTAATTGTGATTAAGCTATAGGATGTGTGCATTTATACTGAATGTTTTTAGATTACTGTTTTTCATACAAATTGGCTACCTAAAACATATAATATTTTTACCGTGGTATTGAGGTGCTATATGTGTGGTTTTAACTGTGTTTATCATGATTTAAATGTATGCCACTATGGGAGACCAATGCTTAATTTAAAAAAAAAATAATAAAAAAAAACCTTGGTCAGAATAAATGTAACCATATAAAACTGAGGTTGCTACAATTTTTACAGATGTTACTGATTTTGATAATGAACAAAAATTTACCTCTGCATCCTAACTCAAGCTACTATCAAATGTGCATTTCTAAGAGACAAAAAAAAAGTGATATTATTATTAATATTATCAGGCAACTCAAATCTGTTTCTTGATTTGAAACAATATCACTCATTAGAACATGCAGAAACTAAGAAATACATTTTTCTATTTAGATATTTATTTTGTTAAGGAAAATTAATGGTCTGGGTTCTACAACTTTCATTTTGGAGCAAAAATCTGGCTTTAAACTTGAAAGAAATAAAGACTCAACATTTATCGTGATAATTATCGATATCGACTGATATGAAAAAAAAATTCGTGATAATTTTTTTGGCCATATCGCCCAGCCCTACCATAAGGGTATTTTTGGAGTGCTTATTTTAAAGGGGTCATCGAATGTGAAATGCACTTTTACAAGTTGTTTGAACTGAAATGTGTGTTGGCAGTGTGTGTACACAACCACGTTATAATGATAAAAATCCACCCAGTGTTTTATTTTAATCTACTAAAATCATTACCCCTTTCTCAAATCAAGCTGTTCTCAGCTTCTTGTCTGTGTGACGTCACAGACCCAGGCCCCTCCCACAAAAGTTTGATTGACAGTAGCATTTCAGCACAGACTGGACTGCCGTCTTACCTTATACCCGCCCTGAGTGAGCTGTCATCAGTCCGCCATTGTTTCGACGCTGGTGTCCTGACAGGGTTTACTGCGCATGTGCACATTAATAATGCGTCCTTTTTCTCATGCTGAACAACAATATTTAATGTATCTGCATTACTATAAGGGTAGGTTTAGGGTTGGGGTAGGTGTAGACTTTTAATAAAACACAATCTAATAGGTAGAATATAACACATAATTACTGTATTTGCATTACTGTAAGGGTAGGTTTAGGGTTGGGGTAGGTTTAGACGTTAATAAACCATAATTTTACAGGTAGCATTTTTCGTTGTCCCGTTTTAATGGGAGGTAGCAAAATCTGACAGGGTAGTACAAATCGACAGAACACTGGAGCAGATGTAGACAAGAATGACTCCTAAGCGTTTGAGGTGTTCTGTTGTTGGATGTAATTATGAACATAGCAGTCGTCATTTACTCCCGACATCTGAGCTGCTGAAGACGCAGTGGATTACATTTGTTTGTGAAGGGAATGTGCCTCAGATCTGCCTAAATGCGTTTATGTTCGCGCAAATCATTCGTGATCCAGCCTCACCTATAGAAGAAGTTAGTATAAGGTTTTTTTTATGAATCTTTGTAAATCGCCTTTCCTAATAATGTGCTAGTTTGCAAGTTTCACGATGACTAAAGTCTCTCAGAGAGCAGCTCGGAAGAGAGGGGCGGGGTCAGCAGAGCTCATTAACATTTAAAGCGGCATGCAAGAAAACAGCTTGCTCTGAAAAGAGTTGTTTTTGACGGTAAAAAGTAGGGCTGGGTTTTGACACAAATTTCACGATTCGATTCGATTAGGGCTGCACGATAAATCGCATGTGATATTTAATGTGCATCTTGTCAGTAAAGCCGGTTCTGTAATCAGCAGTAAATCTCCATCACCTGCGTGCTTTCATATGGAGCAGCATTTACTACACAGAGCCGTTGTTCACTGACAAGCTGCGCAATCGCCCTGGATTCGATTCTTATTCACAAGCTTGCGATTTGATTCGATTTCCGATTCGATTCAATATCGATTATTTTGGATATATATCAGTAGGCTACATGCCAAATTTTCTCAAGGAAAAAATAATCTCTCGACTACTGCTATAAAATATACATGAGAGTCAGTTGGTACTACATTACTATAATATTGAAGGTTAAAATTGACTGATTTGTAGGCTATACAACTGCTAAAATTACACTTAATGAAGTTTTTAAAATAATAACGTTACAATTACATAATATTTCTACTTCAATTCATTTTTTTTAAATAGGCTGTAAACATTTAAATGGTGGTCATAAAAACTTGATGGATTTATTCAAACATAAATTAAACATTGAAGAACAGTAAAAATTATAATGAATATGATTTGGTGCATATATTTAACAAAATGCCCCTCTACAGTTTATTTTTCTAGCTGATTAATGAGTTTATGGTCAACGAATATGTTTTTCTGAGGTAAATGTGACGTTACGTGACATTGTTTACAAGCCGTTATATTGACGTCTTTGCGCGGCTGAAACATTGATTGAGCGAGTACATGAGACAGAATACCGATTGTAAAGTTGTACTCTTTCTTTTAACTTACCTTCGGATGCTTAGTCATGTTTATTTTGTGCTGAAACTGGTATTAATGTGGAGGAGATGATCAGTTCACTTGCGCCTCGCACTGAATATGAATAGTCTTCGATATTGAATAGTCTGTTGAACTGAGGCGCTACAGCGATCTGTCACTCCACATTAAACAGCGCCAAAACGGCATTTATTGTTTGAATACTGCAATACAATGGACAGAATTT